TCCGCCTGCTCCATGAGTTTTTGGTAGATAATCCCCTTGCCCATTGTTGCCTCAGCGCTCCTGCATTCGCCAGACTTGTGCGAAAGGAGCAGCTCGAAGAGCAGGTGTTTGTAGCCTATGTTAGGCCGATTTCTAACCAGCCCAAGGAAGAGGAGAAGATCCATCCTACTATCGCCAGTCTTCTGGAAGAGTACAAGGATTTATCTGAAACACCTTCAAGAGTAGTGCCCAAACCAATCCAGCACCGTATAGAGATAGAACCTGGCAGTAGAACACCTAAGGGGACAGTCTACATGATGTCTCCCAAGGAGTTAGAGGAGCTTCGCAGACAGTTAGATGAACTCCTAGAAAAATGGATTAGGCCTAGGTCATCACCTTTCGGCACACCTGTTCTGTTTGTCCCAAAGAAGGAGGGAGAGCTACGCATGTGTATAGACTACAGGGGACTAAACGCCATCACCATCAAGAATGCAGAGCCATTGCCGCGTATAGATGACTTGTTAGGTCGCGTGCAGGGATGCAAGTATTTCTCAAAGATAGATCTGAAATCAGGATATCATCAGATAGAAGTGCACCCTGACGATCAGTATAAGATGGCGTTCAGGACGAGGTATGGGTATTACGAGTTCATAGTAATGTCGTTTGGACTTACTAATGCACCGGCTACATTTCAGCGCTGTATGAACGACTATTTTAGACCGTGGTTAGATAGATTCACCGTAGTTTATTTAGACGATATCTTAGTATTCAGCAAGAACCTCGAGGAACATGAGGGTCATCTGCGGCATATTCTAAGCAAGTTGAGAGAGTCTAACTTCAAGATTAACCCGAAGAAGTGCAAATGGGCCAAGACAGAGGTCCTTTACCTAGGCCATGTACTAGACGGTGATCGTTTTCGGCCTGAGGACAGCAAGATTGCATCCATTAGAGACTGGCCAACTCCTAAAACGCCGATAGAGTTGCGCTCATTCTTAGGACTGGCTAACTACTATAGGAAGTTCATAAGGAACTTCTCCACGATCGCTGCTCCCCTTCGTAGGTTACTGAAGAAAGAGATTATCTGGAAGTGGGACCAGGATTAATAGAATACCCTGTCCTCAAAGTTGTTGATCCATCATTACCCTTTGTTGTTACTACAAATGCTAGTCAGTATGACATAGGTGCCGTATTTGCAGCAAGATGACGGCAACGATTATAGACCCGTAGAGTTCATGTCAGCTAGGCTGCCCTCATAAAAGGTAGCAACATCGACATACGAGAGGGAACTCTACGCTCTCAGGCAGGCCTTAGATCACTGGAAACACTACCTGCTTGGGAGGCACTTCAAGGTATATTCTGATCACGAGACTCTTAGATGGTTAAAGACATAGGTCAAGATTACGCCCAAGTTGACTCGATGGGCTGCTGAGATAGATCAGTTTGACTTTGAGTTAAAGCCCGTGAAAGGAAAGTACAACGTGGTAGCCGATTCTCTGAGTAGGAGAGCTGATTACTTCGGCGCGATAGTGCACTATCTAGACATAGGGGCCGACCTGCAGCAAAAGATCAGGGATGCATATGCTCAGGACCTGATCTACAGTGAATTGATGAAGAGAGTAAGGGAAGCCCCAGATAGCGAGCCGCACTACCGAACCACGAACGGGCTACTGTTTGAGAAGACCAATGTCACTAACAGACAATTGCGTCCCCAATAGCGAAGAGATCCGTAGCCTGATCTTAGGGGAATGCCACGATACAGAAGGGCACTTCGGATGGCAAAAGACTCCAGCTAACCTGATGATGTCATATACGTGGCCAGGCATGAAAGCAGATTGCATAGAGTATGTGCGCAGCTGCAAGGTATGTCACCAGAATAAAACTACAACCAGAGCCCCACTAGGTCTTCTGAGACCCTTGCCTATTCCGCCAGGACTCAGAGATTCAGTTTCCATTGACTTCATGGATACTGGGGTCAAGAGTAGGCACAACAAGACTCAAGTCATGGTCATAGTAGATAGGTTTAGCAAGTATGCAGTATTTGTTCCCCTGCCTTCAGAGGCACGTACAAACTTAGTTATTAGTAAGTTTTTTGACTTCTGGGTAAGCGAGCATGGTATGCCACTGTCCATAGTTAGTGATAGGGACACACGGTTTACTAGTCAGAATTGGCAGGAGCTTATGAAAGTCTATGGGTCTAAGTTGTTGATGTTGTCAGGACGACACCCAAAGACTAATGGTCAGACAGAGCAGATGAATAAGATCTTGCAACAGCTACCTAGAATGTATATTACACCAGATCAGATAAACTGGGATGAGATGCTTCCCAAAGTAGCAAGTGCCTACAATAACAGTGTTCATCTAGCTACCTATAGGACTCCTAACGAGCTACATAAGTCCTTCAGACCAAGGTGACCGTTTGAGGGACTAAACCGGGACCAGATACACTGACTACCACCCGGCACACGAGAGTTTAAGTTACAGCATGAGCAGGAAGTCGCTAAGGTCATAGACAATCTGAGAAAGGCCCAACATCGGATGATAGAGCAAGCTAACAAGCACCGCCGACCTTCACAGTTTCAGGTAGGCGATCTAGTCTGGGTCAAGTCAAAGGAGTTCGCACCAGAGGAAAACATCTCGCAGAAGCTCTTACCTGCGTATAGAGGACCGTGGCCTGTCCTAGAAGTCAAAGGAGGAGAGGACGGCCCGTCATATACTATAGAGATTCCAGCACACCTCCACAACCCAGTCTTCCATGCATCTAAGTTGATTCCCTTCAAGGAGATTGATGATTCCGCCAGACATGGATGGTGCATATGATATAGATCACATAGTGGAAGAGGACGTGTTCAGGACAGGAGGTCGAGGTCGTCCCCATAAACAGTATAAGGTTAGGTTCGCATTCCAGGAACCCGAGGACAACCGATGGTTTACAAGAACAGAGCTTCTAGAAACCGCTCCCGACATAGTACACGCCTATGAGAGGGAAAGAAAGGGCAAAGGTCCGACCTTGAGTTCGAGTGTTCTCGGAGGACCTCGAATTTAGGACGGCGTGAGTGAATGAGTTGGAAGAGTTTGGTTTGCCATCGGTTCTCGAGTGTGCACGTTGTGAGCAAGTCCAGAGTTGAGTCTGATTGCATTTCTGTTGTAAGTGAATGGCAATTTCATCTTCACCTTTTCCTTTCTCTTCGGTTTCTCCTTTTCTTCTGCTTTCTTCACGGGTCCCTTTTTGGGAGATTCTGCTCCTTGGAAGTGTGGGATTTGATGGCATCACCCATCAGTTTCTCTGCTTTCGTTTCTGGTTTATTTTCTGTCTTCTTCTTCTTCCTCGGCCACAATTTGTTTCTTGCCCTTGATCACATTTGTCACCGTTTGCAACTCACTGGTGGCGTTATCTATTTTTGTTTGGCGTCTTCAACTTCTCTGCACTGGCGCCACTTCAGCAGCTGGTGTCGACAGTAAGTATTCTCTCTCCTCCTCCCTTCCACGTCAGCACTTCCCTTCACACCAGTATCTTGCTGACAAGTGCCACGTCCACAAATCTCTCGCCAAATGGCACTGGTCTCTCCTCGCCGACCAATAATGCAGCAGATAATAGATAATGCCGTTCTTCTTCTTCTCGGATGACTCTTCAACTACTCATCATCATCATCATCATCATCATCATCATCATCATCATCATCATCATCATCGTCAATGTCATACCCAGCAGATGACGAAGTAGGAGGATAACGCTCTGATACCAAATTGTAATGAACCCAGTCAGATGAGAAGCTCAAACATGTCGTGATGCAAGTCTGACTCAGTGCAATAGTGCTGTATCCAAAAATCGATTATACATCAGTCATAGTACATGAAATCTCTCAGTATCCCGTAACCCAGAGAAGAGAATCAGAAGCGGGGGAGAAAAGACAGACAGGAGGGGAAGGAGGAGGAGTGTCCAGAGTGAATCAATAGCGCAGTAGTTCCCTCCTCTTGCCCACTTCCTCCTCGGGCATCTCCCACCATCGCCAACTCAGCAAATCGGTTCTCTGACGATCTCTGACATGTAGTTGTGCAGGTCACATCAATGTGCCCATCCTCAGTCCACGTCAGCAGCAGCTACCGAGGATGGCGCAGGTCCACTTGGAGATGAGCAGCAGATCACACTCCATGTCAGGTAAGTCCAGGTAAGCTTCCTCTCATCACACACGCCAACTTCACAGTCCAGATCCTCCTCCTCCTTGCCTCCTCTCCTACCAAGGTCTACTCCACACGGCTATGGCCGCAACAGCATAATCTCCCTCCTGGCTGGCGCCCAAACTCAGACACTGGTACCAACACAAAGCTCCCATCGCCTTGCATCGTCGAATCAGCATCAAGCCAGTGCAAGGTGGAATTATCTCTAGCAGGGGCTGGGTCAACTTTATATCGTTGACTCACGTTGACCAGCCTCTGGTCTTGTCGGATCGACGGTCCAGATGAAACAGCAGCCGATGGCCTGGATGCAGTGCAGTCCCAGTTCCCTTTGTGTCCCAGTCGAACTGGAATCTTCTGGATACCTGCAGACAACCAAAGATGTGCATCTGATCGACGGCCGTGGCTGACAAGCGGGTTGACTTTGACCTCTGGGCCTGGAATCCCGTGCTGGGGTTGACTGTTGACTTTCTTGAAGTCAACTGTTGCACGGAGGGCCTCTGAATGCTGTTTTTGACCCTACCCAGGGTATCTATTGGCCTTAGGCCTTAGCCCTCAGACTTAGGGCATGACTTTTGACCCCTGTTTCAGGCCTTTGACCAACAGTTATGACTCCTGGCCCGCGTCTACGCAGATTCTAAACTTTGGGTATTCCACAATTAAGACTGCAACTACGTCCAGAAATCCGTAGAAAGGTCCTAGTCTCTGTATGCCCTGAGAGGAAGAGCAGCAACGAGTATTTCATGCATTTCAGAATGAGGAACAACAAAAAAAAAGGAGTGGAAAAGTATCAGAGTTCTAAACTATACGTTACTGCTGAAACTCTGACCAAAGCGGGATAGGCCTACTTGCAGAGTGAATGCCGTGCGCGGGATAGGCTCCGGGGTTGTCACCAAATAGACATCAGCGAACTCGTTGTTGATGAACGATCCATTGTTGGTACAGCTGCAAGGAACAGGTTCAACAATGACCAAGCACCAGGTTTGACAGTTCAAGTCAAGTGAGCAATGATATGTTTTTTTGTCACATATCTATCAACTGAAAGAGCGCACTATGTGAAACACATGAAAAAAAAAACAGCAGTTAACATGAAGCGCACTGAAACTGTTCTTTCACCATTTCCTGGGCGCATATAATTTGAAGACACCCAAGGGACAGAAGTGCATCTACATAACACCTCAAATAAATTGCACAACATTGAGGGAAGCCGAAGGAAAACGCTCTTGTGAGCCTCCAGGCACAAAGTGCAGCAATTCGGACATCTCCGCCGAATTGCTGGACACGAAGTGTTGAGGTAATGCGTACTATGCTAGAAACAGTGTGTGAACCACGCTTCCTGAAATGTTCCAACTCTGGCGAGCCTGGCTATTCGCAACATACTTGTATGAAACAGATACGCCGAGATTTTCGAGGGGCGGCTGTCTGGTACATAGAAGGCCGAAGGAGTTTCAAAACTTCCAGTTCCTATCGAAGCATAGAGATCTGTGAAAATGTTGGTATGTATAGCCACTTTCGTAATACTGGTTTCTGGATTCAAAAAACAGAATCTTTTTTCTGGAATCATAACAAAGCTATCAACACTACGCGTCAAATCTTCAGTGCTTCGCAGGCGCTCGCAAGAGATCACTTTTTCAAAGTAATGATACCCAGTTGAAAGTCACGTCCCACAGTCAAAGGCCATGTCCCACAGACCAAAAAGCAGCAGCACACCAAGGAAAACTCTGGGAGGTACCGGGCCTCAACATTCCAGAAGCAAACAGGCAGCTGGCAGCCGCTACTGGGTCCAAGCCAAGCCAAGAAAAGCAGAGACTGGGACGAGCCAACGCCCAGTCCAAATCAGTATGGGGACTGGCCAGCCGCATTTCAAACAGATTGCTCATTCACGAGAAGTGTGGAAGTGCTGCTGGGCGCTTGTGCGCCAACTGCGAGTAGCAAGCGCTGCACTGTGAGAGGAAGGCGGCCATCGCTGCACAGCTTAGTACTAGGGGGTAGAGCTGAGTAGTAGTGGATGTATCCAGAGTCAAGATGTTCCTGTAGAGAGAGCGAGAGAGGGAGAGAGAGGACACATGCATAAAGGAACTGAAAGAGAAAAAGTGAGACAGCGAGAGAGAGGGAATCACCTACCTGGATTTGGGTTGCTGAACTCTGCGCTGTTGAGTACCTGGTGGCTGGAACTGAGAAACTGTTTAATATGATAATTCCTTGGAATTTCTAAGCTGCTCTAATCTGGACTTTGCGGATGTCGTGTGATCTCTCAATGTGCATGTGCTCGAGGTGACGAACAATGTGGTTCAATGCAATTCGTTGTATCCACTGTTGATGATCGCTGACAAGATTAAGGCCGGCGAGATGAGATCTGGAGTTTGACATTGGGGTTGGAGGCCGAAGAAGAAGTGGCCGATAGTAGGGGATGTTGAGTACGTACCTGCACGCGTGGAGCGATTTCGTGGAGCATCATCAAAGGAACATTCACAAGCGAAGTGCGAGGAATGTGTCCTCAGGGGGCCCTAGAATACATGCATATGTTCTGGACTTTGGCCCCCAGCATGCCTCGTGCCCGCCCTAAGTGAAGGCAGGACTAAATATCGACAAGAGGCCCTTATCTCAGCATTTTCCAATATTGGTATCAGACAGTTGCCGCACGTCAGTTGGTTGAAGACTAACCTGGGCCTCACCCAGGGCTCTATTCAGAAGCAGCAGCTGCGTCAAGCAGTTGAGCCCAGGACGCAGGTGGTTGCGCTCTGGGTGCAGCATGAGGCCGACACAACACGAAGTGGCCACGGACCAATGACAAAGCAGTATTGTCGACACCTGCCTGCGGGCCAATGCAAACACAGCAAACACTTGGAGCCTGGAAAATGCTGGTGCAAGGAAAATGAGCGATAGCGAACTTCAGAAATCAAACAGCATCATACACAGGAGACCAGACAGTCATGACCTCGAACCAATAGCACAATTGCATCACGAGTTCCTCCAAATAAGAGCACAGCAAAAGGTCATAATTGACAATGCTGGAATAGTCTCATCATCATCAACAAAGAACCAATGTCGATATCCTATCTGGCGCTCAGGGCCCAGACTACAGATGGCAGATCCTATCTAGCCTATCTACAATGCCGCTGATGACGTCAACAGCTCCCCGAAGTACGAGCAGATCTCGGTCAATGCTGTTCGCCTCAAGCACCAGGTACGTCTCTCGTATCAATCACAACCTCGATCCCCAACTCACAGACGCCACATGCACCCAAAGACCACCATGCGCCCCATCCAGCATCCAGCAGCGCAGTTCGGCTATGGCTGCCTGCTCCTTCCAGCTCGCCCATGAGCGCGTGAGCGCTGGCCAGCGTTAGCGCAGCATGCAGCCAGTGCCCGAATCCCGAATGCGTGGGCAGGCCCTTTTGTGATGGGACTGAGGCAACGAGGCTGGGAGAGAGAGGGAGAGAGTGAGAGCACACACACACACTCACTCAACTCGATGCAGACTCGACCCGACCCGACGGACGCAGACACGAAGTGGCAAAGTCGCAAAGTCGAAGTCTTGGATGTCCGAACACCATGTCGAAGCAAGTCCACTGAGTACGAGTACAACAGAAAACTGGTACGAGACTGCTCCCCGTACCGTACGGGGAGCCGGTATAAGTACCGGTGACACGTACGGTAGCAGGGGCATTCCTGCAAAGGCCCCGAGGGCAGAACTGAAAAATGCGGTATTTGAAAGTGGTGTCCGAATTGCAGCATGGGGCCAGTTGTCCAAAATCCTACGGTACCAAAGGAGGGGTTTGGACAAAGGGTGCCAGGCCGAAAACGGGATGCAACCGAAACAGCAAAAAGATAGACCAGGGATCGAGCCCTGGCGGAGTCCGTAACACTATCCCCTCCCTTTAGAAGGCAACGTCCCGGCTGCCAAAAATCATGAAGCAATGCTGAAATCCGTGAAGGATGGGACGGGGCCGATCACTGGTTAACAAGTCGAAAGGGAAGAGGGGTATAATGTGGGTGGCATGGGCTGCGGGAGTAAGAGGGAACAGGGTTTGGTACCGGTGAACAGAGTTGTCCTACTGGTGAACTAGGGGGGGCTGCAGGGAACAGGGTAGTCCTACAAATGAACCAAAGGGACGGCTGGGAGCAGGGTAGTCCTACTGATGAACTAAGGGGACTGCATGGTTTGCTATAGGTTAACGGGGAACGAAGTTCAGGGAACAGGGGACTTCTATTGATGTTCTACTGGGTAAGGGAAACGGTGTTCAGGAAGACAGGGTATTTCTATTGATGTTCTAGTGGGTAAGGGAAACAATGGTCAGGGGACCAGGGGATGTCTATTGATGTTCTAGTGGGTACGGGGAACCATGGTCAGGGAAACAGGGATCTGCTAATGATGTTCTACAGGGTTGTCAAAGTTAGGAAAAATAAAAATGAAAATGTTTGTTCAGGATGCAAGGGCTGGTGTGTCCGAAGGAGTCGGAAGCAGAATCGTATGTAGGAACAAAGTGTCCAGGTGTCTTGAAAGGGGGTCTGCAGCGGTCTTGATCAGGTCTTTGGAGTAGGTGGTAGAAGCGGTCTTCAGCAGCTGCGATAGGTAGAAGTCCAAGAAGCGTAGAAGTAGTTCAAGTGTCAAAGTCCAAGTGGTAGGGTGCGTCCGGTACACGAACTGCAATGAGGTCTGATCTGGAAGCAAGGAAGTCGCAGACTGATGCAAAGATCCATGTCACAAGTTGCTGCTCTAGTAAGTCCGCAAGTCCGGATGCCGGCTGATGAAACAGCATGGTGGCCAAACCAGCTGCATAATCTCCATGAACAGTGAGGCAGCAGGCCATCGTCCTCGTGCGCTTGCCATTAGATCCTTTATCGCCGGCGTCACGCAGGTTCACAAGCATTGGACAAGAGAGACAAGGTAGTGGAGAGACAGATGGGACAAGGCTAGGCGAGGGCAAGGGCAGAGGGCAAGGGAAGATCAGACATCAGGAATGAGGGTCAAGGGGAGGGTGGACAGGGTTCAAGGGTGTGTGTAGAGCAGGGTTGCAAGGTTGTAGCAAGGTTTATACAGGGGCTTAGGGATGGATTGCGAGAGACAAGGGGACAATGTTCAGGGGGGGGGGGCGGGGGGGCTGTCGCGGTGGAGGAAGAAGTGGGAGTAGAAGGGCCGAGTCCCGTGGAGCGAGGGGCCTGTCGAGTAAAGTGGCTAGCATTGGGGCAGTTGGTCTGTTGATGACCTAACTGGCGGCAGCAAAAACACCCGTTGTGTTCTTGGAGGTATATGCGTTCTGCGGGTGTTAGTGGAGCCGACGGGGTGGAGAGGAAGAAGGCGGTCGGGAGGCACGACCCTGGCATTCCACCCGTATAAGTTGGGCGGTCTGGAGGTCCTCAATGGTGAATTGGGAGGGGTCAAGAGATGCAGTGTCGAAGTCATCATCGGAGGTGGGTTGAGTGGTGTCGTTATGAAAAAAGAGGGGGCGGGAGGGAGCGGGCGGGGACTGGTGATGGGGGTGGAGGAATCGATCGTGGTAAAGCATGCGAGAGAGGAGGTCAGCGAGGGTTTTTGTGGCATACCCGCTTGATGCGGAAGATGAATGCAAAGTCGGGAACGACGGTGGTGGGGAGGTGATGGCGGAGGGAGCGGATGTATTGGATGAAGCGGTCCGTGGGACCGGTCTGGTGAAAGTGACATAATTGTTCGAGGTAGTCATCAATGGTTTTCTGGGGGCGGAAGGTGGCAGTGCGAAGTTTGGCCCATTGGAGGACGGAGTGACGTGGTCCTCCGGAGGCTCGGCGGTTGCTGACTTCAGCCATCCACCATTTGGTGGCATTGCCGAGGAGGCGGGAGGTGGCAATGGGGAGCCAGTGGGCTTGGGGCATGTGGTGGAGGTGAAAAGAGTTCTGGAGCTGTGTTAGGAAGAGGAAAACCTCCTCGTGGGGGAGGCCGGAGAAGGACATGATTTCGCCGGATC